ATAGATAAAAGAATGGTTTGTCAAGTGAGCGTGAAAAGCAATGATTGTTTAACACGCAGATAAATTTGTTACAATATTAGAAGAAAGCTAAAAAGCAAAATAACATACAGCTGAAAATGAAAAAAAACGGACAATAGATTTTTCCGGAGAGAAAGGAGTAAAATAAAATAAAATATAATGATTTATTGTCTAACGTATGCGCATGCCAATTTGTTCATCTTCCATGCGTGAACTGTCTCGTGTCGTGAGAATCTATCCCGCAGGATGCAGAAAACACGGATTGCATAGTCCAGGCAATGTACTCGTGCAATGGAATTACAAAATATGTCTGCGGATTACACACACATGAGTGTGGCTGACATGTCTGCACCGAAGATACGCCAATAATTGTCCACCAAATGATATGACAATTATCGGAATCAATAGACAAGACCTTTCTATTTGTTCGGTAGCATGAAATCATATCGAACCGGCACCGTTAATACATTTAACGTAAAGTGAAGTATTAGTTTTAGTATTAGTTTTCTGTTAAAATAAATTAGTAGCAAAGCTATATAATTATTATTTTAGTATATTTCACCCCATTTTAACAAATATATATTTATTTATTTATTTTTCTTTTGTAATTCGATTATTTGTCATTTCTTCTGTATGTGATTCAATATTTTAATATTATAACAAAAAAGAAAGAGTTTTTTAAATATATAATACGATAATAGATAAAAGAAAAAGACAATTATTTATAAATAATTAAAATTTAAATTGTAATAATTTTCTAATTCTATTGCAATATTATTTCTAGAGCAAAGAAATTATAAAAACCTAAAGCAAATCATTAACCGTTATTGTGGAAAATACATACATCAAATTCATCAATTTAAATTTAAATATAAACTATGGAATTTTTATTTCGTGTGCCTTCTGTTTCATGCAATAACAAATCATATTTTCTGCAATTTAATCTTGAGTTTAATTCATTGCCGTCTCTTTATGCAACTTCATAATTTCAAGAGACTATAAAACTTAAAAATTATACATATAATTCGCAATCATTTTCGTTCTGCAACATTTACTTGGATATTCTTATAATAATTTTTTGTTTTATACAGCTGTTTGAATTACTTTATTTAACGAGAATATAATTATTCAGAAATAAACTTTTAATTAATTTATTGTAACATATTCGTTACAAATAGATTGAAAAAAAATAACGTAAAAAAGTACGTTTGTAGGACGTTTTACTTTTCTTGACAGTCTTATCTTTGGCCAATTCTAAATTAATTTTTTCTCAAGAAAAAAAAATAAAATATATATATATATATATATATATATATATACATATATACACTGCTATATATATATATAGTAAAGTTAATAAAGATTAAAAATAAAAGGTACATTAAGCTTAATAACAAAATAGTAGATGTCAAAATCATATTCCTTAGTAAAATAAATTGCTTGAATGGAAAATGATTTCCCTTGACATTTTCTTTAATAAAAATTGTTATTATAAAATAATAAGTAGTAGAAATGAGCAAACACTTGCATTGTACATATTTGTACATATTTGTACAAGAGAAATACATATATATAATATAATATCCAATATTATAAATGTATATATGTGTGGTACAGAGATAATAAATTTATGTTAATTAACAATAATTAATATAATCTAATTACTATATTATATACATATTATTTGGGTATAAAAATAACAAGCAAAAATTATTAATATAAAAAGCGTCGTAAATAACTTTTATAATTAATGCTAATAATGTTAAAATATATATATGTATATATATATATATATTTTAAATAAAATAAAATAAAATAAAATAAAATAAAAATATATATATATATATATATATATATATATGTATGTATGTATATACACATATATTTTATTACAATATGTAATAACAATAGTATTTTTAATATTATTAGTATTATTATGATAATAGTAGCATTCTTGGAATTAACATTATCGCTTATTTATGTGTATAACTTACCCGCTGGAGATAAGCTTCGAATGTAAAGGCTCGTAAAAAGGAAACTCGTCAGTGCACTTCGTCATTTCCTTTATAAGGGCTGTAAGAGTCATCATGGTAGACGAGAAATTGAGAGCGAAGAAGCTGCTGTTGCTGCTGCTGTATGGCAACGCGTTTGCAATTAGGACGAAGACGAAGACTTCAGGCTGCTCATTAACTCTGGCATAAACTAGCGAACGAAGCGCATCAACGAGCTAAAGTCGAAGAAATAACAAGCCGGCATCCTGCATCCCGCGCCGTCATCCGCGCTCCGTTCCTTTTATTTCGCCGGAGTGTCGCCGGCAAATCTTATTTAAGGCAGATTTATCGCCGGCTCGGCACTGAGATCGAGGTGGGATATTACACCGGACCCGGATGCGCCATTCACAATGCGACTTCTCGACTCAAAAAGTGTCATAACTCAAAACCTGAGCGCCTCTTCGAGTACTTCCGCCGCTCCAGCACATCGTGTGCCAGAATCTGTCCTCTCGTTGTCCCTGCTCCGACCCACCTCTCTTTCACCTATCCCATCTCTCTCTCACACATTTTACCCATCCTTTCATTCCTTCCTATAGCATGGAGAGAGCAAATGGAGTCTTCCGTTTTTTGTTAATATGCGAGAGGACATTCGGGTTAGTATCAAGCATTCTGCAAATTTTTTCAGCATATCTCTATTTCATCCGCATGATAAAAAGTACCATGCTGAAAATTTTCATCGAATTTTCTGATATTTTCTGATCAAGAGAAATTACTTGATTTATTCAATATTGAATAAAATTAATGAAATTTACAAATATACAAATTAGTATATAAAGTTATATAAAAAATATAGTAATGTAGTGTATAAAGTTATATAAAGTCATAACTGTTATGAGTTATACTGTTATGAGTTAGATAAAAACTCTTAAACGGATGAAATATAATATAAATAAAATAAATAAAATTCAATAACAAATAGCTTTAGTTAGAACTAAAAAAGTTGGTTGCGTTTCCATAATTTTACAATGTGGAATTCTCTTTTCCAAAATATTGTCAAAATTATATTATTATTTCAAGCAATTTGAGAAAAGTTTAAAAAAAATAAACTATTGTAATATACTTTTTACTGTGCTACAACATATGATAGGCATATCAAAAAAGGTATATTTTATTTAAGCTTTACTAAATGGATTTGTTTATATATGTATATAGTTATATAATAATATTTTATTTCTATTAAAATATAATTTAACTAAAAAACTAATTAATTAATATTTAATATATAAAATATTAGTGTATACTACTATTAACATTTATTTATATCACTGAAAATAGTCGCTGTCAAAGAACGACAAGCGCTTTCAATTGGTCTTTCTGTTGATCTGAAAGTGATATCTATTCGATTTCTTTGTCCCGATCTCTTTTCTGTTGCTATATTATCTATATCGATTTGACTCCCGGATATATCAGACGAGAACTTGCATAAGGAAGGACGCATTAAGAGAAATGAACCGTAGGAGGTAATGTTTTTTGGTACACCGGAAGAAAATCCAGCATCGTGACGTGAGCGTTGTCCCGCGACGTGATGGCTTTCGATGCTATCGATCGCGGCCATCCTGATCGATACGCGCGTGTCGCAGAACGAAAGAAACGGGCGAGTCCAGCGATCCATTTTTTCGCTCTCCTTCCGCAACGAGCGGGCTCCATTAGTTCGAGATTGGCTAATGCGCTCGAGCGAGCACCGCGACACTTTTTGTGCCGGCTGGACCGGTTGAATAATTGTGTTTTGCAACGTCCGCGGGAGCGCTTAGTTGAACTCCCTCGGGCATACATCCAAAGAAGAATTAAGCAAAGGGGAAACTTGTGAAAAGCAAACCTATAAAAGGAACAATGGCACCAGGCGAATCGCACAGTTTTTGGGACGATCGCGGGTCACGCGGATTGATTAGGCTTTTGCGGAAAGGGGGATAGGATTCTCGAACATTAATTAACGTCATGATCTCCGAAGTGAGTGCATATTGCGTGACATATTCTAGTCAATTCTGAACCAATCGTCAACTTTAACATTCCTTCGTAGAGAAGCGTTGAAACTACCTGTATCAAATATTGTAATCGTTGAATGGGTTAATCTTGCGATTAAAATAAGTTTTTATCTTTCCAGTTTTGCTTTATATTTTGTTTTAAATATGCTATTAAAAATTTAAATATAAAATTTACAATTTTTTAAAAATGCTAATAAAATTTTATATCACTTTTATTTATACTATTATTATATATTTTATTTATACTATTTTTTAAAAATGTGATAAAAATTAAGAAGCTATTTGATACAACTAAATAAACAATCACACAAACAAATAGAGGCAAAGTGTATCTAAGAATAATATAACTTTGTATTAATATGCACAAATTAGAATATATAAAATTTTCTTAATTGTTTGACTTTAAAAAAAAGATGCTTTTAAATAAGATTAATAAAACTTATTTAAAAAAAATAAAACATAAAGTTGAAAATGAATATAATATTCTAACAATAGATTCTTCTTAAGATTTCTATTTTCATTAATTTTGAATTTTTTCATAATATTTAGTTAAAAACAAAACAGTTTGAAAATTTCTTACTACTTTTCTCATGTAAAGACTATATTTTATTATATGATAATTAATTTAATTTTTTCTTTTCGTTAAAGTTGTAAATCTTTATTTAGCTGTTTTTTTGTTATTTTAATAATTTACATTATTTTCGTATTTTCTTTCAGCCAATATCACATTTTATTGCATTTTCATAAATCTCTCTACAGACCTCTTTTTCTTCAAGAATTTTATTCAAATTGCTTTATTTTTTTCTCTTAGCTATATATATTTTCTTTATTATCCTAATATATTCTTACATATCTCAACACTTTGTCTTTTGAATTCTACCTTATATTTGAATGCTAACACTTAATTCAGGAGAATTTTATTAATCTAGTCAATGTGTTTCTTGTCAAGTTTGTTCTATTCGTATTGGTGCTTTCGACTTTGCTTTTGGTCAATGCAAAACCAGACGGATATGCACACTCTTTCCAACATTTTCACGGGCCAGTGATGGGCGACGAACATGAAGTCACCTGGAACGATGATCATGGACGTCACCACGAGGACTATGTCGCTCATCCCCATTATACCTTTTCATACGGGGTCGAGGACCACCATACAGGCGATTATCACGGTCAAAAGGAGCATAGGGACGGTAAGATACGTAGTTTGAATGGAGATTAATCTCCTCTGCTTTAGGAGGATCCTTCTCGTCTTCTCGTACGTATCGCGAGCGGAAAGAATAAGAATAACCTACTTACGTACGCGGAATCGCGATGCCGTGCTCTGAGGGAGAAAAAGCTGACAAATGTACCGAGGTGAACGTAGGACAGACTGATTGTGCGAATAAAAGTGGCAACGTGACCTTTGCTTGAGCAATTTTATAATGTTGCTCTTAGAATACTCAATGGAAAGCCACGACACGGTAATTCTTTTAACTTGACTTACATATGCTTTATCATTCGTCAAGTGATGTTAACAATATTTTATTAGTAATGCATACAATTTTAGAAACGATTTTAAAGAAATAAGAAAATTTGAATATATATAATTTTGTTTTGACTAAAAAACTATTTTCAATATTGCCATTTAAATAAAAAAAAGTTCTTGAAATATGATTTTATCTTGATATGATTCTTTTCTTTTTAATTTTTTCAGTTCTATAATTTAAATTTAAAAAATTATATTCTTTTACAAATATATATTAATAAATATAGATTTTATATAAATAAATATAGATTTTAAATAAAATCTATGCTTTGAGCAATTCTTATAATAATAAATTTTTTAATAATAAATTTATTTAAATCGCAATCGTATGTCAATAAATATTTAAAAATAAATCTTACAATTAAATCTTACAATACTCTCATTCACTCTTTCTTCTTATAATTAGTATATCTCACATTACGAGTAGAGACATATGCCACTATAGTGTGTAATTGCAATATAATACTTTATAAATAAATTTATAAATAATTTGTAATTCCTTTATAAATAAATTTTGTCAGAATAAAACTAAAATTTTTGTAATGTCAAAATAAATATTTTTTACGTTGCCAAAATAAAATATTTTTACGTATGTCGAAATAAATATTTTAAATGTTTTTAATGATTCAGTTTTTCATTGATATAATTTTATAATATTTTCACAAAACATAACTCTTTTTTATATAAACCGAGATCATCGAGCGTCGTCAAGTTTTAACTAGAGCGAGAGATTTCGTAGCAACGCGCCGAGAGAAAAGTTAGGAACGATGAAAGTGCTGCTAAAAAACCACGCTTCAGTATTTCTACCTTCAAAGGCAGACGCGCACCGGCTGAAAAGTTTATAACCATATAAAGCTTAGATAGCAGCTATTGATAGAAGAGTCTCTGAGCAATTGCGAGCGTATCATTCCCATCCTCCCTCACAAACATTAAATTAATTAGAATAATTAAGATAAATTATATAAAATTTCAGTTGCGTTTTATCAAAATAGAATTTTAATCTAAATTTAATAATATGCATTGAAATATGCTGCGATTGATTAAACGAATGTAAATACATTAAATTATGATTTATCAATTATTATATTTGATTAATGCATCTTCTTTAAATAAACTAGAATATTTTTAATATTTTATAAGAGATATTTCTACATTTAAATATTAGTTATATTAAATAATATTTATGTCACACAAAATAAGAAAAAAAAATTACAAATTTAGCAGTATTATTGTTAGAAATATCGAAGATTATTAATTATTAATTACACATAATTATGAATATTGCACTTCTCTAACTTTCTACTTTTGTTAAAATTGATTTCAAATATACATAAAAATATTAACGAACAAAGTGTGCTGTGTATGAGCATACAATTATTGTTATTAACTTTTTAATAAAATAAAAGTAAGATATTTAAGGAAACATTCTTAAAATACATTATTAATAATTCTTGCATCTTTATAGTATACAGTTTATAGTATATAATAGTAGATTTATCAAAATAATCACTTTTTTCTCTCTTTTTCTCTGACTTCTAAGACTTTCATTTTTTTAAGTTGAATGTTTTAAGTTTCTGTATATAATCGTGTGAAAAACATATGCAGCGAAATGATGAATGTAAATGATTATGGATCTCTAAGAGGAGTGAAAATGTTTTATATTCCGTTGTATTCGTGTAAATCTCAATTTGTCTTCATAAGAAGAAACGATAACGCGTGTCTCAAGTGTACCAGCTTCGCATGAAGCAGCGTGAGACAAATAACTTGTACGTCGACGTTTTGCAGGCACAGAAGTGTTCGGGGAGTATACTGTAAAGGAACCAGATGGCAATATCAGAATAGTGAAGTATCAGGCGGGCAAGGACGGATTTCATGCTCAAGTGTACAACAGCCACCGAAAGGATCATCATAATCATGATCATCGTTAGTCCACGCGGCTCAATATTACTTTCTATCAAACTTTGCCTTATTCTATTCGAACTTATTTTTACGTATGTAAAAACTTAGTTACGTATTAGTATGTATTTAGTTGTTTTATATCCATTGTTTTTGACATTGAATATCGTTAATAAACGTTTAATTTATATACACTCATTAAAAGAATAGTTAAGTACCTTAATTGTTTCAATTTCCATCTTTTTAACGAAGATTTACGGCTATTTTCATGATAGACTTATAAATTGCCTTTCAATATTACAAAATGACTTTGAAGCTGTTGTGAAAGCTGATCAATCGCACAATTATCGAACTGAATTCTTCTTTGGAAGAAATAATTACTTCTTCTAAGAAAATCCAGTCGATTGTAACCGACAACATTGAATTTTATATTATATTAATTCAATTTCTAGATAGAATTATTTGAAGTTTTTCAATAAAATAATTTTTTTAAAATGTATAATTTACTTTTTATATTTGTAATTAGTTATATTTGTTATATTTCTCTCTAATTATAATCTAAACTCTACTGTTAGAGAATATTTGATTAAACGATATTTGATATATTTTCTCAAGGAACTGACTATATTTATAAATTATAAAAATCTGTAATTATATAAATCATTAATAATAATTAAAAATATACAAATAATAAAAATGCTTATACATATAAAGCATTATACATATAAATGTGCAGTAATATATTAAAGCATTTTTAAAAATATAGCGTATATACACAAATATACGTATTTGAAAAGATATATAATATGCTGTTTCTTCGCATAATTTCTTTTCACATGTATAAAGCATATACACCGCATCTTTCCAAAATACAATAAAGGTCCGTTCATGTCGATATTCCATTTTCGATATGTCCACATGTAATTTACATTCGGCGCACACGATAAATCATGAAACACGACTGAAAAAAGTCGTGTAATAAACACCTGATGACGCACTTTCCGTAACATACACAGAGTCATAGAAAATAGTAAACTTGCTAATCTTGAAACATATACATCGTTAATTGACGGTATCCTACGTTGTACATCATAAATCAAATTCCGAACTAGAGTGAATGAGACAAGCTTAATTGCATTTCAATACAATAGTCTGCATCTGTCACATACATCACCATACGGTTCTCAACAACTGTACAATAATTATCTAAATAATATACAATGCATTATTTTTATCTTACCGTTTAGATTTCGTCAATCATTGTTATTAAACACAAAGTGATTTTTTTTAGAAGGGGATTAATATAAGATTTTTAGAAAAAAATACTCGATTATTTAAAATTAATTAACAATACAAAATAATGCAAGTCATCACAACTGATAAGATTAGTAGGAAAATTTCCTATCTCTCCTTATGTCACAATTTCTTATCGTATCTACAGTCAGAATACTGTGAACCACTACTATTATACCATCGAACCACTGGACCAACAAATGAACACTTGCGCCAATATTATAGTAGAACTTCTATATACGTAATTCAATAACCATCTTTCCTTATTCTTAGTATTTTTTTTTTCATTCTTATTTCAATATACGTACGCAGAGTAAAAATATTGTTTTAATCGTGCGTATATTGACATTTTTATTCTGTACATGTGTGTTTAAACGGCAAATGTGAAATAGTATAAAAATAACAGATAACAGGAAAATATGTCAAAAATATAAAAACTGAAAATACGAATGATATGAAAATGTTAGAAAAGGAAATTATAATGTAATAATAAAACAAGTGTATGTTAAGAATACAAAGATTAGATCATATTTTAATGTTATAATAGCGCAGCATCGCAAAATAATATTATAGCATTATTCATCAATCTTGGATTGGCGCATAATATTAAAAATCCTGAATTAGTAAAGTTAGTTGTTCAGTATTTTTTTATAAATTTCGCCGTTTGTAAATTTCTATGTAATAGCCATTTAAATCCAAAAACTCGCTCGCGCTGTAGAAAAGCTGTGTAATTTTCAGTTCCTTGGAGAGAAGGTACACGCGCACATTTTATATTCATAAATGCGTCTCCATCCGATTACTGAATCGCGAAAGTTAAATGGCGTTATTCAACGCGACGAGCATCGCGACGGTTACGAAGTAACTCCTACCTGCTTTATGATGTTTCCGGAGTTGAGTTACAGCAAGGTTACAAGATCCGGAACAATAAAAAATAACGATGTTACTGCACATTGTGGGGAAAGAAAGAGATATGATGAAAGAAACATTTTATCGAAGAAATTTGAAGCTCGTTGGTTTTTTCAGTAAAAAGTAAAATATTTACAATTCCCTTTCTTTCCTAAAATAATATAAGGTTTCCAAAATATTTTATGTAATATTTTTATTGGCGTGCACATAATATTATAATACAAAGTATGAATAATTTTCAGAACGAAACATCGAATGAAAACGTAGCTTTTAAATACACAAAATGGAATATTGTAAATATATCGAATTTTGAGAACAATGCTTGTTGTTTTTTTGCATTTGTATTTTCTAAATTGACTACAATGTATGAAACACGTATAAAATTACGGTGATTAATTAAATATTATTATAAATTTTGGAATTTAATTTTGTAACAAAATTTAAAAAATTTTTAATCATGTTTTTATTTCATCTATAATAACAGCTCTTTTTTATTTTTTTTACATAGACTCTATAAAAAGAAAACGCATGCAAAAATGGTCTGTTTGTGGAACGTAATAAGTAGAAATATAATAAAAAGAATTAATCATTATACTTTTATTATATAATAATTTATAATAATTTATATATATAAGAGCAATAAAAAGTAACAAACGCTGTTATCGATACAAACAAACTATTTCAATCTCGATTCGGAATAACCAGATATGACTTGCATCAGTTATTTGCTATTTGATATAAACTGTTACTAATTTAACATTTTTGTGAAATATTCTAACATGCGTAAAAAAAGTATTGCAAATAAACTTCCTTGTGATTTCGATGCTTTGTCAGAAAATGGATGGGAATCCAATATAAATGCTGACTTACGTAAAATAAAGTCGCACAGCTCTGTTCATGCTTTAAAAGTCACGCTAAGATGCATTCCTGGTATGTATCAATTATATTCCCTTCTTCTTATTTAAATGTCACGGCTCGCGATTGCATAAACGCGAATGAGAGTCACAGGCCTCTTCACTAGTAACCGCAAATTACGATAGTAAACGAAATTCCCGTGTGAACGGGAAGTTTCTACGCGCCAGAACTTTTACGCGACTGCGTTCTTCAAGTCTTTTTACGCTTTGTACCTGTCTGACTCTATACGTAAGATAAATCTTTATTTAAAGTTTTCGATGCATTACTCCGAGAAAACGTTGCACAGGTATTTTAAATGTTATCATAACTATCTTTACATCACTGGAAAAAAACTATATCTCAGTTTACTTTCTCTTCTTCTGTTCTTTCGTGTTGATATTCTTCTGAATAAGATAGGGCAAAATTGTTTACAAAAGCGGATATTAAACAAATTTTTTGATAGTTAACATTTATTAAATTGTTTTTATATCGGAGATAATTTTTGAAACGAAAGTATACAATATTATAAGTTGTAATGATAATTACGTTCTCAATGTTTTGATCTTGTAGTATAAAAACGTGTCATACACAGTCATAAATAAATGCAAATACTTTGCATCAATATGCAACGTATATTTGATACATCATCTCCGCGAAAATAAAAAATTCAATTAAAGTTGAACACATTTGATAGAAATATCTACGAAAAGAATCTCCTTATCTTATATTGTATTATATTATCAATTATATTATAATATTAATTTACAATAAAACATTATTGTTACATATAATTATATTTCTACATTATAGATGGACATTAATTATAATAGCTTTAAAATGAAGATCAATATTTTGTTTATTTACAGTCATTTTAAATTAACATATAATTCGAGAACAGAGATAATATTCGACATTTCATTTCACTTTCCGATATGTGATATTTATAATACACATTGTCGCTTAATATTTTCAAAATTATTAATTATTAATTTCATTCTCTTTTATTTGCTTTCTCCATAGATATTTACAAATTAATTTAATTGATTTAATGATATATTATATATGCTCGCACGGACTACAAAACATATTAAATTGTATACTTTGATTATTTATTATGTGTGTTGAATTATATATTTATATGTAATTATATATTTATATTAGTTTATTTCAAAATTTGTTGTAATAACGAGTGTATTTATAGATTACTCGACAAGAAATTTCAAGACTCACCTCGACCTTACAATCGGATTGATTTGTAGGTCAAGACTCGCGAGAATCGACATTAAGGCGAAATTTACTCATCACCGGCATTGCATCACTGGTGAATTGTATTCTTCAGTGACGTTTACGTAAAGGAAATACAGCGCGAGAACAGGAAGAAACTCCACTTTCGAAAATTACTCCTGGATCGCAAGAATTGTTTGCTGGAATTGTTTACGCGATGGACTGGTATGTATATGTGTGTGTATGCGCGTTTCGAGACTTGTTCGCGATCAATCACATTAGATGTAAATATACACGCACAAATATTGTGTAAAACTTCTCAAATATTTATGAATCTGATCTGTATTCATGGTTGCATTTCCGAAATCGCGCGATTACACCTAAAATTTTATTTTTGTTTCATTAAATTTATTAATTTAATTATGAAACAACAATGATATATATTTAAAACATTATAATTTAATTTTTCTAACCGCATTGTGAGTGAAATGATAAAGATAAAAACGATTTAGAAATCTATTCTATTTAAATGATATATAACTTGTCTAAAAGAAAGCCCTAAGAAGATTTTCAAACTTGAAAAAAATTAATATAGATTAATTTAATATATAAGTAAGCAATGGATGCACAAACACTATAGGCTAATGATTAACTAATAAAGTTTATATTAATTTTGATTAATTTTGAACCGAGTTTATATTAATTTTGATAGATTGTATTTTTAATTGCTGAGAGGCATGTCAGTTTAAGAATTTTATATGTTGGTTTTTAGTATTTTTACTATCTATCTAAATGCATTAATATTTCTTTGTATTTTAACTGTTTTAGTCACTCACACTTATTACTGAGCAATAAAAAAAGCAATAGGTATAGTTTTAGTTTAGACATCATACAAAATAATTTCGTTGTCCTCCTCCATAAAAAAAAACTTTGTCGATCATTTATGGCTTCGGCCTCTCGAAACTTCGTATCGGGTCTC